TTTCCCTCAGGTTAACCTGACTGTTGTGCGTTCCAGGGGATCCTATGGCAAAGTGCATCTTTGCTTTCAGATCATAAATGGGACTGCAGAGGAGGGAGTTGATTTCACTCCCACAGTAATGGAATTGTTGTTTGAACCACATGAGGAAAGTAAAATTATTTTGGTTGAAATTCATGATGATGACTTTCCTGAAGGTCCTGAAGACTTTTCAGTGATGATTACTGAAGTGGAACTCCAAGGAAGGTAAAAAAATTCTCAGTTGATTGATTATAAGCAGAAGAAACAAATTATGTTTGGAATCTGAGCTACCTGCATCAAGTCACCACTAGATTTTGGCTGTTTTATTGTAAAATTTCATTAAGTGAGCTATAGTAATGAACATAATAGCAATTGGATGTATGGAGAGCCCAGTTCCTTTAACATTAGCACAAAGATTTTGCTGATTAACATTTATTGAAGCTAAAAGTCCAGAAGTTGCACACACATTGTCAAGTTGCACAAAATTGAAATAAGAAGGTAGAATGAGAAAGAATAAATGAAAGATACACTTTTCTGTGAATAAAATACTATTTTTTGCTTATATAACAGTTTGAAAGAGCATGGCCAAAAAGTCGTCAGTAATAACTGTCATAAAATAAAAATATTTGTGGCAACTGACAGATTGCTCTTCCTGCATCTTAGTGCTTTCACAAGATTTTAAAATGTGATTTTCTTTTTGATGTTCTTGCAAGTGGGTTTGACTTTACCATAAAAGAAAATGGCCTACAGATGGACCAACCTCCAGTGATAGGAAATATCTCCACAATACGAGTCACTATAGCAAAAAGTGACAATGCAGAAGGCATCATAGAATTTGACCCACAGTATATCCTTCTAGAGGGTAAGTTTACCTCAAGTTTTCACTGTGGGTTAGAAGAGAAATCTGTACTGATGGCATTTGAAATAAAATAACTTTTTCTCAATACTCTTGTAGTGGAAGAGGATGCTGGATTAATCATGATTCCTGTTGTGAGAAAGCGTGGCACCTATGGCTCAGTGACAGCTGATTTCCTTACTCGAAGCATTTCTGCACTTCCAGATGGTGTTGACTTTGTCATCCATAATAATTCTGTCATTTTTTATCATGGCCAGAACCAGACTTTTATTTACATATCTATTATTGATGATGAAGAAAGGTAATTCTTTTTTTTTTTGATATGTATTCACTAATTCTGAGAAATCCTTTTTTAGCATGTGTAGTGTGCCTGTGTGCAGGATTGGATTTGAAAAACAGATTTCTGCAGGGCTGAAAGTTCACCTAAAATTAAAGAAGGGGGAAAAGAATAAAGAAGCTATTATTATAGTGTTATAGTTCCTATTAAATTTTCTATGCAAATACATTTTTTAAGATTAGCTTACTGGAATTTTGGGTGTAAATAGTACTGCTGTGAATAATAAAATATTTTACCTTTTTAAAAAAATTTAACATGAAAAGAAAACAGAACATTATTTTTATTTCAGGTACCCCTGTCCTGTGTAAATGGGAGGAGTTTCTGCTGTATGCTCTCAGAGCTGATTTCTGTATACTTTTAAACAGATCCATTTGGACGCATGATTGAATAACTAAGTCTGGTTTTAAATTTTGGGGTTTTTTCCCCTCCAAAGCCTCAGAATCTCTTTTCTTTTCCCACGCAGTGAATTTGCAGAGCAATTTGAAATCCAGCTGACAGGAGCCACTGGTGGAGCAGTCCTTGGGCTGCAGCTAGTGAGCCAGGTCACTATTGCTAAAAGTGACTCCCCAAAGGGCATCGTCCGGTTCCTCAACCAAAGTCGAGTTACTCTTCCCAATCCTGACACAACCATGACAGTCTCCCTGGTGCTGGAAAGGACTGGAAGGCTGTTAGGGGAGGCACAGGTGGGCCTTGGCTCTCAAAGATTGAATGCTTTCCACTGGCTAGGTCAAAAATCTCCTTCATTTTCCTTCGAGAGCTTCTTTTTGTTTGATTTCTCATTGCATAGTTGTGGCTTTTCATTAAGAACAAATTGCCTATGGTTGCAGAATAACAGAAGAAAAATTGCTACCCATTTAATATTCTGTTTCTCTTCCTGCTTGTGCTTTCATTTATGGTGATCTGGTGTAATTTACTTTGAACGAGCTCCTAATCCCATCAAAAACATGGTTCATTTCATGCACCACCACTAGTCTGATTTAATTTAGTTGAATTACTTCCTAAGGAGGGTTAAAAATTTTTCAGTAAATTTTTTATGGATTTTTTTTTTCTTTACTCTATAAAGACCACTGACAAAGTGAAGGTGTAAATATGAACCAAGGTGGGCCTTGCACAGTCTTGGCAAATAACTGGAAGATTGGCACTAAAAGGGCATCAATTCCTCCTCTGCCCATATAAAGATTACCTTGGCCTTCTTTGACATTTTTTCTGGAACTCACTTGAGAAAACTGGAAACAATGACCATGTTTTAATAATTTTAAAGTGCTGAATATGACCTCCTCAAAAGCAATCTAATTTTGGGGAAATTTTGAAGATATTCTGGCTTTTAATCAGACCGAAAAGGTATGAATCATCATTTGAGGGATTCTAAACTTTTATTGCAGACTCTTAAGAAAATATTTGTCATTTTATGTCTTGGCATCACGCTTCACAGGGAATGGATATAGTCATGAGTACTCATTTGGGGAGTCTTTTTAAAAAAAAAACATGAATTGGACAGAAATTGAAATTGGCTTGTATTTTTCCTGTCGTGTGGTAAAGGAATCTCAGTTTCAGTTCTTTTCTATAACTAATATGTATAATTTAATAAACTGGCATTATGGCTTGACACTTCCAAATTCTCATGTGTAATTTTCATGTCTAATTTTGCAAAGGATTATATATTTTCATGCTTAGAATTATTTAGGATTATCTTATGTTCTGTATTAACAGCAAAGATTTAAATGTCCTTAGTTACTAGATACAAGATTTTTTATGTCTCTTGTGGTACTCTGTCCTTTTTCCCCCTGGGAAGCTGTTATATCACCAATCTAAATCTGAAACTGGTGTCTTCCACAGATTAATTGGGACATCTTGGGACCCAATTCAGAACAGGTTTTATCTACCCTAAATAATGACATTGGTGATCCATTGAATGGAACATTCTATTTTGGAGAAGGAGAAGGAGGTCTGAGAACTATTCATCTAGAAATCTACCCTCATGAAGAAGTTGAAGTTCAGGAGGTCTTCATTATTAGACTGAGGCTAATGAAAGGTGAAACAGAAATAGACCCTAAGGCAAATAACGTTACACTAATAGTAAGTCATTATTGCTTTCCTTTCTTCTCAGATCTCTGTTGATATTGGTATTTGCCCTGTAAAGCTTTTAAAATTTAATAATCATTGTGTAGTTTGCCACGTGGCTTTTTTGTCCCTTGTACCACTTCAGTGCATTGTTACAGCTTCACTTCTGAAACAAGAAGGCAGAGAATCTGTCAAAAATTAAAAAAAATGTAATTTTTTTTTTTAAATTGGTATAAACCCCCTGACTTGCCCTCTTATTTGCTGATTTCTGCAGTTCTCTTTGGAAAGAACATGGATTGGACCCTCATTTCTAAATGTCAGATTGTTGGTCATCCCTTCTTAACCTCTTCTTCTATCATATAGAAAAGAAAGGAGAGGGTCTGACTATCACAGAGAAATGGATAAATTTGTGAAATAAGGCAGAGGGAGCTGTCCCAGACAAATTGTTGCTTTAAGAATACTGCAACTAAGGAAATATTTACAAGAGTATTATAAAAAGTTGGGGGAAAACCAAACCAAACCAAACCAAACCAAACCAAACCAACCAAACCAAACCAAACCAAACCAAACCAAACCTAAACCTTTCCCAGACATTGGATTTTTAGAGATTATTTTTTTTTTTTTCCAGTTTGCCAACTGTTAATTTTAGAAGAGTTTCTGTATAGTAGCCCAAAGTGCCTGAGCACTTCTTGCTCCAGTATCAAACTATTCAGATACAGGATTTGAAGTAAAACTGTGTCCTTTACTTCCTTGGACAAGGGAACTGAAAGCTGAGAAGGGGACATTCACACTTTCTTGGCTGTCTCCCAGTATCATTTTGACTCCTGTTCACTCCTGCTTAAACTTTGTCATGTGTCACTGTAGGATTTGCTCACAAAAAAGCAAGTCACCCACAGCTTTAATATAACAGTCTTGCTTTGTGTGCATGTTTGTGGGCACATGGGCTTGCTATCACTCCCTTCTCATAAATTTATGTCCCTGTCTTCTCTACATCACTCTACATCACTCACTCTACATTTCTGATTTTTGCTTGTTTGTTTACTTCTTTACAGATACAGAAGTTTGGTGATCCCAATGGAATTGTACAATTTGCTCCTGAGTCATTAACTGAGAATAACTATGCAGAACCCTCAGCAGCAGAGGGGCCACAGAGTATCACACTGTTTGTCAGGCGAATTCAAGGAGTTTTGGGAAACATAACGGTATTCTCACTCTTTTTCAAATGCATGATGTGATCTGAAGCCATCCTGAGTATCAATGTACAGAGGAATTTCTTATTCTGTGCCTTTCTGTTTGCTTTCTCAATTTCATTTTTGAGACACTACCTTCTATACTGAATTTAGCAAGGGCTCAGCCCTATATACTTGTGATTTGGAGAGTCAGGTTCAGTCTCCCTTCATCAGAGAAAAATTGTACTGCAGTGAATCTGTCACTTTCTCTTTTCCACTGTATTTTTGATGGGAGAGCAGAAAAGACCACACTTTCATAGTGAAGTTTCCTTGAGATCATTACATTTCACTTTTTGCCCAGCTGTACTTAAAGGTAAGAATCAGACTTTTTTGAACCATCAGACACATTATTTTTTACCCAGAGTTGTCTGGAAGTTAGCATTTTAACAGGGGCTTAATTTAAAATTAAAAAAAATCAAAGAAGATGCTTTTATTCTGTGATTAATAAGAACTCCTCACCTCTTTTTGGTGTAGAATCTTGGAAGCAGGAAGAACAGCAAAGTCATGTTGGTATAAAAACAGAAATCATGTTTAAAAATTGTTCAGAGTTTCCATATAGTTTACATAAATCTTCTGAAGATAGAAAGGAAATCATTCATAGTGCTATTGGAGGAACAACAGAGTCTTTTGTAAGATAACCTGTGTGCTTCTTTCTGAGCATACCTAAGACAGTTTTATATTTTACCCAATTAAAACCAGTCTGTGCCATGTCCTATTTGTTTGATGTTCAATCCTGAATATCAGAGTTGACTCTGAGACACTGTGACTCTGTGGATAATTTTGCTTTCTTGTGTCTTGTGTGTTTTCTAAACTAAATTCAGGTTTACTGGGAAATACATAGTGAATCTGACATCACAGGTGACTTTCTTAACACAGAGGGATCCGTTGTCATTGCTGACCAGCAGAGCACAGCTGAGATAATTCTCTACCTGCTACCTGATGACGTGCCAGAACTGGATGAAAGCTATTTTGTGGAACTGATTTCAGTAGAAGGTGGAGCAGATTTAGACCAAGAGAAAAGAATTTCAAAGATCAGTGTGCTGGCAAATGATGATCCCCACGGGGTGTTTGCCCTGTACCCTGACCAGCAGTCAGTGTTGGTAGAGAGGAACCTGGAGAGGTGTGTCCAGATTAATGTAACTCGCCATGCTGGGGCCTTTGGAGAAGTCACCATTGAGTATCTTATCATATCTCCTGATGAAGAAGTGCTAATTGAACCTGAGAATGAGGTGGGATACCTCACAGTAAAAGATGGTGCCAGCTTTGGAGTGAAAAGAGTGCCAATAAGCAGCCAGGTCTGTATGATCCGTTTAGCTCCTGTGGTATCTATCATTTTCATTTGTGTCCATCACAGTGCTGCAATGAGATACTAAACTCTCTGTTTAGTATCTCTTCACTAAACCACTGTGAAGAAGCAGAAAAGAGAGTTTTAGTGCCATGAATCTCCTATTTGTGGAATAGAACTAGTTTCAGGTATCACATTTTCAGATAATTGCAAAATCACTTTGTGTGCATGCAAATACTCGGTGTTTCCTTCCATCATTGCTTTGTGTTACTATCAGTTCAATATTTCATTATTTTATATCTATGCAAACATTTTCTCAGTCTTCCTTTTTGGATTGTAAATAGTGGTCTACCAGCAGTGACTCATGAAGCAGGAGAGAAATTTACCTGCAGTTCTTTGTGTTCCCTGGTTGGTTGTTATTGTTATCACAGTCTTAACATCCACACTTACATGCTTTTAAATTCATTTTACATCTTTTCTAAGGATTAAAATTTTACATCTAATCTAAGAATTAAAATCTCACATAAACTGTATGTTAGAAATGATTTATTAAGATGGCAATAGTTGCTCTACAAACTCACATTTCAACAGACTCCTGGTAAATCCCATGACAAAATTGATGTTTTAGCTGTATTGCTTTTGAAAAACTTAATGAACAAGACACTTGTCTTTAAAACACTGCTTTTTGTGTGCCAGTAGAACAAAATCAGCAGATTACTACTGAATTATTTGAACTGGTGGATATCATGTTTTTAGTGACATTAAATTCCAACCTTTCAAATTAAATTCTTTCTCTCAAAGGCATTTATTTCGCTGGGCTCAAATTTAACTCTGGAACTGATGAATGTAAGCCTGGTTAAAGGAAGTGCCAAGGACATGCCTAAAATATTAGGAAAAGCTAAATCAGCTGTTCTGATTATTCCTGAGGAAGCTGCCAATTCACAGGTCAGTAACCTTTCTGCCACAGAAGGAAGGCATGGTTCTAAAGACTGCTGCCATAAGACTTCAACTGGGTCCTGAAAGTTTTCATCACTGCAACCAATTCAATGACTGTCAAGACTTTTCCAGTCACTTTTACTGTGTATGGTTCCTCTCCACCCAACTCTCCAGCCAGTTCTTCAGACTGTGCAGGTTGTGTAGTACTACAGGTGTTGCCTGTGAGCATTAGGAGCAGGTTTGTTTGTTTTTCTTTTAAACAACAGTCTTGAATACAGAATGCTGTATGTTTTTCATAGTGAAATGTCGTCATATTTGTTCCTTTTCCTGGAGATCTAATTATCAGAAAACTAAGATTTAAAAGTATTGTTAGGGTTGTGAAGGAAGTATGGACATATAGGCACACACATGCAGATACATATCTACATATCTCTATATGCATGCATAACTATTGTAAAATACCTATTTTACAGAATATACTGTGCTTTCACATATGTTATGGGTCACTTTTATTCCAGTTTCTGTAAGAAAATTTACTGTGTTTCCACAGGTTGGCTTTGAATCTGTGAGTTTACGACTTACAGACATTGTGGCAGGGACAGGCCATGCTGTTGTAACCAGAAAAGGGGTTTATGGCTCTGTCACAGTCAGCTGGATTTCAGGATACCCACCACACCTAATCACTGACTTTGCTCAGCCAGGCAATATTACTCCTCCATTTGGTAAGCGTGTGTCTAAGCTGTGCAAGTGATGATAACACCTTTTAGTTATCTATACCTCTACATGTTTTCCTCTATTAATGAAGAGTCATTAGAATGAAATGGTATAGTTCAATTTGTATCTGTAAGGGATATGTTCATTTTATGAGCAGAAAAAGAACTGAGCTTCACAGGTGCACATCTGGGAGGCAGGCACAATGCTATGGCCCTGAAGTACAGCTTCATGTAGGGAAGACCCTTATGAATTTTCTTCTTCCTAAATGGAGTGGAAATGTGATTAAAGTCCCTATCTCAGCATGTTCCCAGGTAAAAAGAGGATTTGTGTTTAACAATATTGACTTGTGCTCACTCTCTTTCTACAGGTACTGTTGTATTTTCCTCTGGTGAGCAAAGTAAAGTAATTTCATTCCAAGCTACTCCAAGCCTAAATAAACATGAGTCATTTGCCATCACTTTAGCAGCAGTGCACAGCAACGTGTCTGGTGGGGCTCGCCTGAGGTAAGGATCTCACTTGTCCCTTTGAGTTGCACAGATGCTGCAAGAATTATGGCTCATGAACAGGCATATATCTTATTTATACACATCCCTATTAAATTATAGGTAGCTAGCAGGTTGCAGTGCCTTTGATAAATTTGTATGTCTTGCCTCAGGGGAAAGTGTCAGTAGTGCAGATCTGGCCTGATCAGAACTGAGGCTTTTCTCCAGCTCTGGTCTGTGTCATACCACTGGGGTCCAAGGTGTCTAGAATGATGGAGACAGTTAAGAAAACCAAGGTCAACAGTTTTAGCCAAGAAGCTGAAGAACAAAAGCAACTCATAGCAGTTTTCATTAGTATCCCTAAAAATCCATATTTAGAAGATCATCGATAACAAGCATTATTTAAAATAAATACACAAGAAATATTCTGAAAGTACCTAATTTATATAAAAACCCTTTCTATTCTTAAAAACAATCCCATTATTTTTAATGTAGTTTTCTAACTCAGCTAAGTTGTTATCTATTCTACATAGTCATAGAATTATAGAGTTATTCTGATGGAAAGGGACCTTTAGGCTCATCAAGTCCAACCATCCCCCAGCACTGCCAGGTCCCCACTGCCCCGTGTCCCTCACCCCACATCTCCATGGCTTGGGAACCCCTCCAGGGGTGGGGACTCCACCACAGCCCTGGACAACCCTCAAGGGCAAGAAATTGTTCCTCAGCTCCAACCTCACCCTCCCCTGGGGCAACTTGAGGCCATTTCCTCTTGTCCTATTGCTTGTTCCCTGGGAGAAGAGACCAACACCCACCAATTCTTTTCATTCTTCCTTACTCATTGATAGATAAAATTGGTATAAATAAAAATGGACATAGGGTAACTCTGCATTTGGGGAAAGGTACTGGCTTCACCATATTATAATTACTGTGGCAAATCTGAAGGAAGAAGGGAATGAGCTTGGATGGCTAAACTGAGATGGACCCCTTCTCCTAGGCTTGTCTGTCCTATGGACTGGTGTCCCCAGAGCCCCTATTTACTGTGTGAGACACATACCTGGAGTATACAAGAATGACCTTTCCTAGAAAACTTAGGACTGCATCCCACAGGATGTAAAGCTGACCATTACTTCTAAGAGTTTTTGGCTCTTTTAGGGTCTGGTTTGTTAACCAAAATTGTTCACTGTAATTGTAGAGCCATTTGGTAACCTCTAGCACTGAGTCACGGGTCAGTTCTAGAGACAGGTGTAAGATGCAAGGTTTAGCAAAGAGTCTTGTTCTCTGTGCTTATTTTCAGATAGGAAGGGGATGTATTTAATACAAAGAAAGTAGAGCTTAAATTAGTATTGATAACAAGGCTCAGATCTGGAGAAAAATTACTATGACTAATGTTGTGAGGGGACAGTTAATATTTCAGAGCCCCACTGTAAGTTTTAAAATAACTTTCTTTCCTTCTCTGGCTTCCTGACTAAAACTGGCTAAAATCTGCTATCATTTGTCTACTGCACACTTTTCCCTTGGTACAGGAAGTTTTCTCAGTGGTGAAAACTGGCATTACCTGGGGTGGCTGAGTTGTAGTATCTCTCTCTCAGGGAGACCTTGTTTTATTTATCCTTTACTCTGTGTCCTGTGCTGACTCAGGATACATTTATCCTGTGGAAGGCTGTTCAGTACAATCAGTGCAAAAATATTTTTCAGGGAACCTCTTTATATTTTGCTTTGTATGGTTGCTTTGTCTTCCTTCTACTGTTATAGATGTTTTTTAATCCACTTTCTTACAGCCATCATTGATTTTTTCACTGAAAATTATTCTGCTTGAGTGTTTTACTTTTCATACTTCATATTTCCTCTCTCAGCTTCCATATATTTTCTATTTCAGATCAGGATTTCTGATAGCTGAAATTGAGCCAATGGGGATCTTCCAGTTTGCCCTTAACTCAAGATCTGTTTCAGTTGAAGAAGATGTTCAAGCAGTCACACTACAAGTCCAAAGACTGTTTGGTTTTCAAAGTAATCTCACTAAATTGACATATCAGACCATTCCAGGAAGTGCCAAACCACTAGAGGACTTTATTCCCATCTACAATGGAGAGATTATGTTTTTAGGTTTTCAGACAAACGCTGTGATTGAAATATCAATAATTGATGACAACGTGTCTGAAATGGAGGAATTTTTTTTTGTAAATTTGACTGCTGTGGAAATTTTGGATGTTCAACGTGTGACTCCTCCTTGGAGTCCACGTTTGAACCCAGCTTTCAGTGTTGCAACAGTTAATATCCTGGCTAACGATATTCTTCATGGAATACTAAGTTTGGGGCCAGGGTTTATTTATGTTGAAGAGGATACAAACAACAGCACCCCCAACACAGCTGTACTTCATATCAGAAGGACCAAGGGTTTTACTGGGGATATTGAAGTAACTGTTAAAACCTTTGGGGGTGTGAGTGCACAGACTGGAACCGATTCATATCCTTTTGGAAAGACTGATGGAAAAGCAAACTTCACATGGGCAATGGAAGGAGAAGATTTTGAGGAACAGTCAGTCTCTCTGACCTTGCTGGATGGAGAAAGAGAAAGCAAGGTGTCCATAAAAATTTTTGATGATGATGAACCTGAAGGACAGGAGGTGTTTTATGTTTTCCTCTCAGACCCTGAATGTGGAGCACAAATTGTGGAAGGAAAGGATGAATATGGATTTGCTGCTTTTGCAACAGTAATTATTGCAGGTAATGTTTCTTTTCCCCCAGGAAATGAGTCAGTACCTCAGATTTAAATAACAGTAAAGAACTGTATGTTCTCATAGCAATTTTCACATAAAGATTAGAATTCTATTTGAATATTCTGTTCCCAAATCTAGTTGCCATGTGTGAAGAAGCATCTAAGGCATCCAGCCCACCAAGCACCCTTTAGCAGTGTAGCTCAAAATATGTTTATAGATGGTGCTTATCAGTTCTTGTCTGCTTTACTTCATGAAGGGGAAGGTTAAGCTTGAGTGTTTTTCCTGCAGATGTAGTAGCATTGCAGGGTTTTTTTGTTTTTCTTTGCCATTTTGTCATTTTTATCTTGCATGGTGTTTGTACAAAGTACAAAAAAAGTTTCTATTTTTTTTTGTTTGATACTGTGCAGTTCATGTCTGCAGCGTAGGCATCCTCTGCTTCTGAGGATGGAAATAGGCTTAGAGACACTAGAGGAGAATTTCTCCTTCAGACCCTGCACACTGCTGTGAGAAAGTGACATCACAGCTCCAGTTTCCCTTAGCTTTCAGGTATCAGACTTACCAATTTAACAACAGTGTAGATTAAGTTTTAGAAACAAGTTTGGAATTAGAACAGTTTAGGCTAGTCAAGAAAATTATATGTAAGGTCCAACATATACTGGAGGTTTTGTGTATTTAGGTAGTCTTAACAGAACAAGGTAGATATTGAGAATGAGGATTACACCGTGCTGTTGGGTGAATGTAGGCAGCAACCAAAATTATGTGTGCAAAAACAGGCTGTATAAAACAAAGTGACCAGTTGCTCGTATGTGCAAGATAACCCCAGAAATATCTGCCCAAGATAACCCCAGAAATATCTGCCCAGGCACAGCTTGGAAATGGAACTTGTACTGGGTCCCACAGAAGTGCTTTAGAGTTACACCATGAGTACAATGAGTATGTAAAGTAAGACTGTAGGCAGTGTTAAGGAGAAGGATGCAAGCTTGTATGGCATTTAACTACAAATATAAAGATACTACAGGTTAAGTCTTTGTGCATCCACATAAACACACAGTTTCTGTTGATCTTTGGAATATATATTGACATCTAATAAGCACTGGGTCATAATTAGTTTGCCTTTTCAATTGCAGAATGAAGCCAACACTACCCCTAAGGAGAAATCCTTCAGAAGCACAATTTAATGGGACACTGTGAAGACATTAGTTTCCCCTCATTAACCCTGTTTTTCTTTCCTCCACTGCTCTTTTGCTGAGTTTATTTACAGTCCCATGAGAACAATGCAGCTCCCTAGTTCCACACACTGAATTAAAGCTGCAGGAGAAAAGCTGATGTAACAATTGGGGGAAATGAATGAGTTCAACAGCATTATGGATGGGATGAATAAGAAAGCTAAAGTCATGTCCTTGGGAGACCATCTTTATCCCACGACCTCCTGTGGCAGTGCTGTCCATCTAGGGGCACTCTGGGGCCCATTTCTGTTTAGAAAGAATATGTTGTAAGGGTTGTAGTAAACATAAAATAACCTAGCTGAAGTGATGCCTCCTAAGCAAGGCTTTAACAGTGTTCTGGACTGCTCTAAGACCTAGTCTGTTGAAGTAAGTTTGCTGAACACTGATGAAAACACAACTTTATGTGCATAGATTGTGTCAGGACTCTTATAAGGAAATTGCTTTCAAAAATGTTGATTCTAATGGGTAAAATAAAATCTAGAAATGCCAGCGCTTGAAATTCTAGCTAAATATGGTGTCTAAATTAAGAATAAAAATATTAAAAGAAATTTTCCTGAGGTGTCCCCAAGTGATACTTTGCAGCAGGATTTTCATACCCAGTTTTTATTTTTTTTTTTTTAGCAGTTATCCATATTAAAATTATCATTTGTCCTCAGCTTGACTTTCTTCACTGATTACTTTCATGGTCTGTTTCCTGTATAGGAAGTGATCTCCAGAATGGCATTTTGGGATTCCTTCCAGAAGTACAAACTGGTCTTGTACTTGATGAAGACTCAGAAAACAGAGAGGTGCTGCTGATTGTCACCAGGCAACCAAACAGGTGCAGGCAACAGCTGGTGCAAGTGCTCTTCCCACGTGCTGTGGTGTGCTGTCTTGAATCATAGAAGCTACTGTTATTTATAATAAATATTCAGTATAATAGTTTATTGTAATATATTTTTCTTTTAAGCTCCTTTACCAACTTCCCAGAATTTGGCAAATGGGCTTTTATATTGTGAATGTGATTAAGTCTCTCACTGTTACATACCAGAAACAGAAAACCCAAATATTTTTCCAACTTACACCATAAGGCAGCAAGTGTGAAAATTTTGCTTAAAGAATTTGCACTGCTAAAGGCATAACTCAAATTCTCACTTCCCTGTGTAATGGAAGTAGGGATGAATACTCAGATGAGCAATTAAGAAGCTACCTGTCAGCACTATATTTGTGTCTTCACTCACACAGATACTAAATTTTTACTAACACATATATACATTACACATTTATGTATATTTTAAACAAATGTGCTCAAATACTCCAAGTTCCTTAAACTTACAGGAAAGATAAATTCTGCCTGGCTTTCCAGGCAAATGGAAGCAGTGTATTAAGGAAAGTATTTGGGCATATCCCTGTCTTCCAAAACTCTGTGTCTCTCATTCGACTAATCTCATGTTTTGTGATACCAAAATTAAGAATCTAGATGCCTGTAATTGCTTTATTTTCTTCCTGTATTACTTTATGTTAATCTAAACAGATTTTAGAGGAAGGAATTTAAATAAAAAGAGAATTTTTCATCTTAAAGCAGTTTTTTCCCTAACAATATGTTTTAAATAATAACATAAAATGTGTGTTACCTCTCTGGCTGATGTTTCCCAAAGCAACAGTGCTCTCCTGCAGTACAGCTATCCTCTTTTGGTTTGCTTACAGGGCCTTTGAAGATGTGAAGATCTTTTGGCGTGTGACCTTTAATAAAACAGCTGTTGTCCTCCTGAAGGACAGTGTGAACTTGGAAAATGAACTTGTGTCTGTGCTGGGAGCCACAACCTGCAAGGCAGGCCAAACGATGTGCAACATCTCTATTGAAATAAAACCTGATGATGTAAGTAAATGTGGCTCGTTCCCTTACAGCACTGTGATGTTGAATTGCAGTTTGCCAAAGTGAAGAAAACCCCTCTGGTCCAGAGGAACTGATATGCAGTTTGTAGATGGTAACCTGACATCTGCTCAGCTCCCCTGCAAACACGTTTATTGACAGGCTTGTACCACCTCCATTGTGACTGGTAAAAAATCAGGAAAGAGAGGAGTATTTAGTTTGAAGAATAAATTGTAGATCTCAAATTTGTGTAGAACACTAAATAAAAAAATCATGGAGTTGTGTCAGCAAGATGTGTATCCATATGCAGGATTCTTACCCTTCCTCACCCTTCAGACAGAAACTTTTTCATCCATTAAATCACTTAGGGTGGCTTATGGAAAGTATTGTAACTAATAACATCTTATTCAACAAAAATACTTTTATTGCAACTTGTGCATAGCTTTACATGCCTAAATCTAGCACAGTGAAAGCTCTGCTCAATCATAAAGCTGCATGAGAATCTCTGAGTGTCTAAAAATCTGTTGCCATGGACATCCAGCTTGTGAGCAGCGAAGTTCAGTTTTTCAGCCATCATGCACTGAAGCCATTTGGGATTTGTCAGCTGGGTATGCCTAAGCCTAAGGCCCTCGAGGGGGCCCATTTGGCACTCAAAAAAGCAGACATCATTGAAATGACACAAAGCACAGCATTCAGTCGTTTTTATTGAAAAGAGAAGGAAAGAAGTATTTTTGTGTGAACACCTAGTGGTTAGAGCACTTTTAAGAGAGGAAGGATTGATTAATGTTTGCTATTCTGACAGACTGGAAAGTGTTGGACTGGCCACAAAATTATCCTAACAGCCTGGCTAGTGGCAAAGCTGTGGGAGAGAAAAGCAGCAGATGAGAAGGTTTCCACACTAATGTAAGCTGTAGGATGTGGGAAACTGATTTCCCACCGAGGAGTGGAGTGCATTCTCTCCGTTCAGTGAGAGGTCCATTTTTCTTCTTCATCTTCAGATATTATTTTTACATTACAGAGCCAATGAATAAAACATACACTTGAGTGGGGCACAGGCTGCCTCGTGGACTAAACTGGGATTTTGAACCTGTTTAGTCCAAAGGAGCAATATCATTATTTAATGGCAGAAGTGCAGTCGCTGCAGAGACATGCCCTTCTACCACAGGAAGCACAAGCCTGTGCCACTCCAACAGGTGCTCATGGAAAGCTGAATTTCCCTATGGCATTCCAGGGAATTCATGCCTGTCATCAATTAGTCAAGATCATTCCATTTAAAGAATTACTTAACAATGACTCAATTAAAAATATATGCAGCTTAACCCTCCAAATATTTCCTAGTTCTTCTTCCATAAGGTAGCTTATAAATTAGTAAATAATACTTTCTGAATTGATGAAGTAGTAAATACATTCCATAAATATTTCACAGTTTTA